TTCCGATCTAAAATCTTTATTACAACATGGTGCAACTTACAACATTGAGAATAAAGAAGGCAAAACACCTATTAATCTTTCCAAGAATCAGAAAGTTGCTAACTTCCTGAAATTAGTTGAAGAATTGTTTAAAGATACAAAAAAAGGTAATATTAAAATTATCAACAAGTTAAGGGCAGTAAAGCAAGATGAGTTTTTAGCTGTAACAAGCGCTCTTAATAATCAAGGGAATACATTATTGCAAGTTGCTGTAGCTAATGGACACAAAAATGTCGCGAGTAAATTGTTAGAAATGCTGAAAGAGCTACCTCCAGTTCAATCACAGTCTAGCCCTGAATGTGAGTTGGATCAACTTGAAAAGCTTAAATGTGCTGCAGAGCTGCATATTTCTTATTCTAAGATTTACCTTCGTATGTTGCGGAGAATGTTGCAAGTGTTGCATCCATATGACTCGGAAAAGAATACTTCTCCTTGGAACACTCTTAAGGAAGGTTCTTATTACCTAGGAAATGCATATAGCTTAGTTCAGATATATAAAGATTGTGTACTTGGTTCGATAGATAATAAAAGCATACAGTCAGTAAATGATATGCTGGTAACGCTAGAATTTGATCGAAAACACATAACGTATGGGTATACAGATGAAGCTTACGGTGGGGAAACTAAATGCTTCGTTTCCAAAGGGCAAGGCACAAAATATTATGAGTTATTGCATAGTGAGTTAAAGAAAGATGTAAGATCGTTCATAGAAATGGTTGAACTTAATATTGATATTCCTGTACAAAGGTTTTTAGAGTCAATCAAGCAGAGATTACAGTCTTTTTCTGAAAAGTTACTTGAGGCCATGGAAAATGACAATCTTTTAGCAGTCGAGAATTGCATCAAAAGGGGGGTGGTTGTCAACTTCAAAGATACCGATGGAAGAACATCGTTACACTATGCCGTTAACAATGGTAACATAGATATTGTAAGCATCTTATTAAAAAATGGAGCTGAAGTTACTGAAATTACCAACAAGAGCAATACGCCATTACATATAGCTTCTTCCAAAGGTTTCAAAGAAGTTGTTGAAGTTTTATTACAATATGTAAATCGTGATAAAGTAAATGGCTTTATTGATGCTAAAACAGCTTCTGATGATACTACATCACTTCATGTTGCGGCTAAAAATGGCTTCTTAGAAGTTGTAAAATCTTTATTACAACATGGTGCAACTTACAACATTGAGAATAAAGAAGGCAAAACACCTATTAATCTTTCCAAGAATCAGAAAGTTGCTAACTTCCTGAAATTAGTTGAAGAATTGTTTGAAGATACAAAAAAAGGCAATGTTGAAATTATCAACAAGTTAAAGGCAGTAAAGCAAGATGAGTTTTTAGCTGTAACAAGAGCTCTTAATAATCAAGGGAATACATTATTGCAAGTTGCTGTATCTAATGGACACAAGAATGTCGCGAGTAAATTGTTAGAAATGCTGAATGATCCAGTTCAATTACAGTTTAGCCCTGAATGTAAGTTGGCTCAACTTGAAAGTCTTAAATGTGCTGCAGAGCTGCATATCCATTTTTCTGAGCATTGCCTTCCTTCGTTACTGAGCATGTCGCAATCATATGGCTCGAAAAAGAATACTCGTTGGAAAACTCTTAAGAAAGGTTCTTATTACCTGTTACATGCACATCATTTAGTTCAGCTATACAATTGTGTATCTGGTTCGATAGATAATAAAAGCATACAGTCAATAAATAATGTGCTGGTAACACTAGAATTTGATCCAAAACACATAACGCGAGGGTATACAGATGAAGCTTACGGTGGGAAAGCTGAATGCTTCGTTTCCAAAGGGCAAGGCACAAAATATTATGAGTTATTGCATAGTGAGTTAAAGAAAGATGTAATATCGTTCATAGGAATGGTTGAAATTGATATTGATAGTTCTGTAAAAATGTTTTTAAAATCAATCAACCAGAGATTACAGTTTGCTTTTTCTTCAGTTAAAAATTTACAAGACATTAATATAGAAAGTGAAGTTAAAAGCTTAAAACTTTGAATAATACTATTGAAATGTTTATATAAAAGTAAAACCTAAGTTATTGTTATATTATACTTAAATCATAATACCTGGGTTTCAGCAAGCTATAGAATAAAATTAAGGGAAAGTAGATATAGAAAAAAATACGAATTTTTGGTATATGGGCTACTTCATACTCCAAATCACAGCTACAAGTTTACCATTTGATTCTATTAGGTATCTTTATTGCGTTAAAAGAGAGTGTGTATAAATACCTGAATTTATTACAGAAACTTAAACATTGCAAGATAATAAAAATATTATATTTAAAATAGTTTGACTTATATTATATATCGACTATGTTTTACACTTTCGACTGTACACATTTATATGGAAAAATATAAATAAATAAATGCAATATATATATTATAAAAATTTATATCGTAAGTAGATCAATGTTCCAACTGCATCCGTAATTTTTTATTTCATCCTAACCTAAATTAGAAACTAACCTCCGTCGGGAGTGTCGGGACCAGTCGGCGTCATATAACCTCAATTTGGTTAAAGGCGCAAACTCACCAGCTGAGTGATTACTCCAAAAACCCTCCTAATCTCCGTCTCGTCTTCATGGCACGTTCATGTTCTTTCTTGATGAGATAATTTAAAGTTCAATGTTCGAAGAGAAAAGACATTCGAATGTAGAATCTTTGTCGTAATTTTTGTAAAGATAAATTCGCAAAAATATGAGCGGTCGTCCAAATACGTGCGCTCCGAGTAAATCGACTGTTTACGTGTCGAATTTACCGTTCTCCTTAACCAACAACGACGTACATCAGTTGTTGGAAAGTTATGGGAAAATTGTCAAGTGAGTTACATTTTTTTTTTTTTACTTAAATTTATCGTGTCCGTCGCACGTACACATCGTATAAATACTAAATATCACGTCATTTATTCGCAGAGTAACGATATTGAAAGACAAGATAACGCGTCGCAGTCGCGGCGTCGCCTTCGTGCAATTTCTCAAGACGGAAGAGGCCGTGGCTTGTGCGAAAGGTCTCAATAACACAGAGGTAAATTTCAATTTCCACTATCTATTTTTCTAATTGTTTGACGACCGCGCATTCAAGCGGTCGTGCCTCCTCGTATAGTCACTCGAGCATCAATTCGCGTGTGCATTTCTGTATAATTTCAAAAGTGGAAAGAGATTGGTATATCATTTGAAATATTAATTAAATTGTTTATTTTATTAGTAAATCTAAAATAGAAAATTAAAGAGAATTAAAGAACGTTTAGCTTACATAGAATATTGTTCTGGTGGAATATTAATTGTAAAGTTAATTTATCTTTCCTTAATTTTAAAAATAGAAGTCAAAGATTGACGCTACAATTTAAAATAGCACCATAGATTATTTATTGTTAACGTTCTTATCCTTTCTTTTTATTGTTAGATACAGAGTCCTACTCTGAAAAGTTCAATAGCATTAATTCGCGTGTGCATTTCTGTGACTGTATATAAATTTCAAAACTGAAAAGAGATTCATATATTATTTGAAATATTAATTAAATTGTTTATTTTATTAGTAAATCTAAAATAGAAAATTAAAAATGGAACGTTTAGCTTACATAGAATATTGTTCTGGTGGAATATTAATTGTAAAGTTAATTTATCCTTCCTTAATTTTAAAAATAAAAGACGAAAGAGTGAAGCCACAATTTTCAATTTTAGCACCATAGATTATTTATTGTTAACGTTCTTATCCTTTCTTTTTATTGTTAGGTACAGGGTCGTACTCTGAAAAGTTCAATAGCAATTGACAATGGTCGCAGCGCTGAATTCATACGCCGTAGGGATTATCCCGACAAGTCGCAGTGCTACGAATGCGGCAAGGAAGGACATTTGTCGTATTGCTGCGGCAATAACACATTAGGTCCCAGAGCACCGCCGGCAAAAAAAATTAAGATACGAAAGAAAAATGTGAAACAAGAGAAGTACAGTACGAGTTACTTTGATAGCGACAGTGATGATGAAGCGACAAAGAAACGGCAACGTGACGTCGACGACGATTATGTCGATGACACGGAAGAGGAGCCAGAAACACTGAGTGCCGTTATCGCGCTTGAGGTATAATCATGATTTTTGAATTTTTAATTGAAGCTTGAAGAGAGGAGAATGAAATGAGATATTTTTATAGAGCGAAAAAATTACAATTTTTACTCAGGTCACTTTATATTTCAGCAAAGACGGACTGAAATGGAACGTAGAGAAGCAACAGACGAATATGATCGAAGAGAAGCCTTGCCGAGGAAACGCTATAAAAAGAATAATTATTTCAGCGACGAAGAGGATTTTAGTGAATAATATGTATATAATATGAAGTAAAATACCGAAGGTAGTGTATATTGATAAATGTATATAAATATAAATAGTATCGCCTTTGTTTTCAAAGTACGAATTTCAAGCTATAATAAATACTCCCAAATGTATTCTTAATTTAATTTTACTGTCAGCATGGCAGGTGTAGTAATCAAATATTTTTAACATATTTAGAGATAGAAATTGTGTCTTTCTCATATAAGCTTTGAATTTAACACTTTTAACAAACAAGGTCGCAATCTATCAAGAAATAGTATTAATTACACAACACTAAAGCAATTGTATATATAAATATGTATATGCATACATATAGATATACATAATATATGTATGTATATATATGTATATGTATGTATATATGTACAGAATGTCCCAAGTTGATTGTGAGTTTCATTTATTTATTTTGTAAAAGGGAATAAGAGAACTTTCAACAATTTAGTAATTTAATCTTAATAAAAATTGAACTGTACATCATTTTTCTACTCTCACACATTTCAAATATTAGTCATTTTGATGATGCGACAGAATCCAAATTTTAAAAAACTCCGTTGAAAACGCAGTTAGCAATCGTTAATTTTTTTAGTAATTTATAATCAGTGCTTTTGTTAAGGAAGAATTGATTCCAAATTCGCGTAAAGAACTCACAGAATACGTGATAATCTTGAGACAAACTGTATATATTTCGATGGACGTACACAATTTGTTATACGCTATACTCGTTTTATAATCCTTGATATAATTTAATGTTGAAAAAAATATATTAAACAAAATAAAAAAAAATTTAGGCGCGACGCATTTATATAACGATCTCTCATCTTCCAGCTGGATGAATAAACAAATTTAACATAACGACATAATCACAAAAAAATGTACATTATATTCACATACTAATCCTATATTGAGGATATGGATGTATCACATTTAATTTATGATACTATTTTTCAGTCCAACGAGAGAGTTTGCATTTTAAAATACTTAAAGCAAGATTACTGCAGTCTATGATGCATACAATTAGACTATACAAGATTATGTAACAAAATTAAAATCTATGTTTTTTTTTCTTCATGTCAGTCACATCCAGAATTTGAAATTAGTGCTATGGTCAAGCGCTGCGACACTTATTGTAAGCACGCTTGAACCTTTTCGATCCATTCCTGCGCCGTGGTTGCGTCAGCAGCGCAGAAGTTGTATGTTCGTCTGTTTGTACGAAGCTGTAAAAAAAAAGAAGAAAGTTTCATTATCTTTCCAATACGGCAAAAATCACATTTCAACAGTATTATACAAAGGTTAATTAATTTATTGATTTTAGTTTTTATAAATTAAATTATTTATTCGCAAAATTAAAAAAGAAAGACTGAAAAATTGCTAACATAAAAATTTGTATTTTAAACTTAATCTTGATTATTAATTATTGATGTTGAAAAGCTCCTTTTTACATAAAACATTGTATTTAAATCGCGTGTATTTTTCTATTACAATAAAATTGTGTACTTACATCAAAAAAGGATTTATCGTCCGTTTTCTTTGGTGGTCCGGGCATCGGCGCAGCTGGATTAACAGATACCACCTCAGCCAAATCTGTAACACGTGAATTTATGATGACACTCGGGCTACTTTCAAGCTTTCTCTCGTATCATTTCTTAAAAATTCGATGACACACCTATGTACCCTTTACAGTGCGAGTCTTCCACTGCGTCGTAATATCTCAGTTGATGCTTTATAGAATCCAGCACGAACCATCTTTGCTTCCAGCCCTTTAACAGAGCTCCCCGTTTATAAAGATAGCCCTCGTGGGTTCGATTTTCCGCCACATTACTCGAGAACTGTTCATAATATTGCTGGGAAGACGTTTGTATTGTTGTTACACCTGCAAGAGGTAGCTCGTATTAATATACGCAGCAGCGCGAAAGTAGGTTGAAAATAATAGTTGCTGCTATGAAGATTATATGTGAGAAACGCTTAATTAGCCATTCAGATCAAATGAAAATCGGCGCGTACTTGAGTTTACGCTTCCGTTATCGCCGCCGCTTCTCGTGAGCGTGTGAGTCTGGAGATTGTCCGTCACAGCCTTGTATTTTGTGCAATTCTTTGGCACAGCGTCCGCGCATTTGTCGTGGCACACGTGGCCGCAATCGATGCACCTCAGTCCAGCCTTCACGGGGCCCCATAACACGCCAGAACACGCGTCGCAGTGGGTCGGCGTCGCGGAATCCAATCGTTCGAACCTTTGGCAAAAACACGTTTCGCATTCGCGAAATACATTCAATCAATTCGAGCGTATTGTACAGATCGGCAATGAGAATACCTGTGTGGATGCGCGTACACGGAGCCTTCGTTTCCGGTAGTGCTTCCACCGGCGAGTTTGCCGCGCAATAACAGTTCCAAAGTAGAACGTTTATGAATCAATCGACCGTGGTACCGTACGAGTGCCGTGCTGAACGACGCGTGCCGCTGGAAAAAGAAAAAATCAATCAATGGCTTTACAATAGTTGTACCAAATATATTCGGGCTGCAACAAAGTTTAAAGATATCTCATATTTGATACATCGAAATAAATTCAATTAATATTTTACATTCTTTTATATATTCTTTTTTAATCATTTTGACACAAATTTAATACAAAATAACATCCAATAACAATGTGTTACCTAACACTGCTTTTCAACAACTAAATTATGTAAAAATATATTCGGGCTGCAACAAAGTTCAAAGATATCTCATATCTTTGATACATCGAAATAAATTCAATTAATATTTTACATTCTTTTATATATTCTTTTTTAATCATTTTGACAAAAATTTAATACAAAATAACATCCAATAACAATGTGTTATCTAACACTGCTTTTCAACAACTGAATTATGTAACAGGATTGCGAGGTAATTGCGAGCGAATTCTCTCATGTGATTTTAATTCGTAATTCTTCAAGAAAGCCCGATAAAAAATATCTCAATATTCCAAAAAAGAATAATATAATTCCGAAGTAAATTATGCAACGGTATATTTAGTGTAAAATATATTTTTCTTGCGATAATGATGCAAGAATAACTCGGCATAAAATATTTTTTATATGAATATTCTCTTATGACTTACAGCAAGGGAATCGGTGTTCGGTAATTCAAGCTTATCCCAGAGTACTTTCCATTTTTGCGGTAAATGTCCCAATTCGGTCTCCAACTTGTGAATTTCCTCTAAAAGATGTGAGAACTGATCGGGCACCATTGTGCTGACTCCGTCGTATCTGGAAAAGATCGTGATCTGTGAACTTCACGATTTCCTTGCGAGCGCTAAATGTGGCATTTGAAGTAATAATCACCCCTGAGTGACCACTTTACGATTGCTCTTAACCACGCCATCCGCAGCCTCGGCCTCCTCCTCCTGCTGGGAATCCTGCTGCAGCACTTCCAGATCGTATGCCGGACCGTGGGCCAGTTCCTCCTCCAGGTAAAACTGCCAGATGTCCAGGCTCGGCAGATGCGAGACCGGTCGCAGAACTGGATTCTCCGCGTTCGGCGTGTACATAAAATTGTAAAACAGCGGACATCTCGCGTGCTGCTTCTCTATATAGTCGAATATACTCTGCCCGAGGTTGCAGCCGAACGTTTGCTTGTTCGTTCCCGCCAGTCTACCGCCGGGATAGATCGTGTCGTCGTCGCTACCGGTGTCCACGCCCTTGTGATGACTCGTCAGCGAGCCTCTCTTGTCCTCGATGGCGGTGATACCGCATTCTACCCGGTCGAACTCGCAGTCCAGCAGAAACGTGCGAAAGCGGCAGGACACCGAGTGGTAGGCTAAGAACTTCAAGTAGTACTCGTTGAACTCGAAGGCCAGGGGAAACTGCTTCTGTATCTGATGCACTATGTCGAGGAACTGTAGGAACGTAGGCGTGAAGTTCGTCGTCTGCGAATTCGCGGCGAGATTGCTCCTGTGGCCGAATCTGTGCCCGAATCCGAGCCACTCCTTCTCGATCAGGGTCCTGAAGCCGTCGATCGTACGGTAGTGCGGATCGAGGCACACCTGCGCGATGGAGCAAACGGTGGTCGTGGTGTCCCAGCCGTCCTCCAGGCAAACGGCCACCGACGAGCCCTGCATGTCCATGAGGTCGATGACCGCCCCCGCTAGCTGCATCAGGCTCTGCAGCTGCTGGAGCCATTCCGAGCTCTCGATGAGCCTGTAGAAGCTCTGATCGGGCTCCACGTTCGGCGAGCTGGGCACGCACGCTCGCATCAGCTTCTTAAATGCAGCTTTCGTGTGTCTCACGTCGTAATACTCTACCGGAATGAAGTCCGTCTTGGGGGTGGATTCCGCCTTCACGCCCTTCATGTGCGCCTTCTCGCCCAGAATGTAGAGAGCGGCGCGCTGAAACGTGTGAACGCACTCCGTACCGCTGTCGGAGTCCGCGGAATGCCTGACAGTTCCGCGCTGATGATGAACGGACGTTAGGGAAGCCTGCGAATTGTGCCGTTTGTCCTTCAGGGAGCCCCACCGACCGAAATTCTTGGGACCCTTGCCGCCGGACGAGCTGAGAGTGCCGAGGGGTTTGTTGAACGGATTGCGGCGCGACTGTTCCGGCGTGGCGTTGCGATCTTCCGCCGCCAGCAGTAGAGAGTCTATACTTAGAGAGCTGTCGGACATACCCCAGGCGGAACCTTGCCGCAGCACGGAGAGCGGTGTCGCGGCGACGAGCGCCATCATGTACTTCTCCTGCTCTAGAGAAGAGGTCGTCTCCGAGGACGTGGTCTTCAGATTGCTGCCGGAGGTCGGATGGGCCTTCAGCATGCCCATCACGCCCTTCCCGTGGTAACCCGCGCCCCTAATCAGCAACGCTTTCGTTCGCGGATGCCTCCAGGTGACAACTGGCATTCTGCTGTGACGATGAAGTCGGCAGAACCGCCGGATGCTCTCGTCCGACACGGAAGTGGGCACGATCAGGAGCGCGGGGTAGCTCCGGCAAATCATGTAGGCGCAGTTCACCGAGGTCAGCCGGAAGGGTTCGTTGCGACGATTGTTGTGCGGCCCGTTCGTATAGAGGCCCAGCCGGTACCAGTCCCTGACGTAGCTACGCTCGGACAAACGTTCGAGAGTCTTGGCGTCGGTCGGCGGTTGCGT